AATTCATTTTCGCTTCATGAAGATGATTCGCAGTCATCAGGCTTTCACCTTAATGTTCCCACAAGATAAAAAAGACAGTTTGTTTTGAAAAAAGGTAAACTGTAGCAAAAAAGGACCAGGAATCGTCAAGCAGTCATATTGCGCAAAAATTGAGTCAAAGCTCCAATACGGTTAACAATCTTTTCTGGAATCCTGTAGGTTATGGAACAACGAAGAGCTCTGGATGTTCATCATTGCTTTTTGGTCAATTTAAACTTCGCATTTTGGGGAAACATTTCAATTTCATCGAACAGTGCCCGGAATTCCAGTCTTCTTTCAGAATTAAACTTTCAATGGATATTGTTTGGGATGTGTTGAAGATTTCCGAGGTCATTCTTCAATGGAGAATTAAAGAAACCTTGTTTGTGAAAAGAAATTCTCTCGAAAACTGAGACATTTTTTGCTCGAAAGTGTAGCCACGTCCACTGGAGCAAGATCAGTTCTTTTGTCTGTTGTGTCTTACTTTCTGTTTTTCTTTCGAGTTTTTCCTTCCTCATTAAGGGTTTTTCCTTTCATTAGACTCCTATGAAGCGAAAAACATTGAGAGAAACGCAGACAGAAAGTAAGGCATAACAGACAAAAGAACTGATCTTGCTCCAGTGGACGTGGCTACACTTTCGAGCAAAAAATGTCTCAGTTTTCGAGAGAATTTCTTTTCACAAACAAGGTTTCTTTAATTCTCCATTGAAGAATGACCTCGGAAAATCTTCAACACATCCCAAACAATATCCATTGAAAGTTTAATTCTGAAAGAAGACTGGAATTCCGGGCACTGTTCGATGAAATTGAAATGTTTCCCCAAAATGCGAAGTTTAAATTGACCAAAAAGCAATGACATCCAGAGCTCTTCGTTGTTCCATAACCTACAGGATTCCAGAAAAGATTGTTAACCGTATTGGAGCTTTGACTCAATTTTTGCGCATATGACTGCTTGACGATTCCTGGTCCTTTTTTGCTACAGTTTACCTTTTTTCAAAACTAAACTGTCTTTTTTATCTTGTGGGAACATTAACCCATTCGTGACAATGTCAGCCACCGGTGGCTGACAAAGCTCTCACTCGGGACAATGGTATTACTGTGGCTGCAGGGCTTGAAATGGAATTTGGAAAGTTTTCTTCCATGGAAAGAATCTTCATACCCTCGCTCATCTACGCCAGCCCTGGGCAGAGGAAATCTCCCTTCCACTCAATTTTATTGAAGAAAAATCTCCTGACGCTGCTGCTATTGCGCAATCCTGCGCGGTCGCGAATGGGTTAAAATGAAATCCCTGATAACTGCGTAATAGCATACATTATACGAAGCAAAAATGAATTTAAACCAAAAGTGCTTTAATCATTTTTGAAGATAGGAAAATCGACCTCTTCTGAAAAAATTAGCAAATGGGGTTACAAATTTTTAGTGTTTTCAACATGGATTTTTGTGTTGATATCTGAACTCGCCATGAAATTTGTCACATTTTCTATCTGGACAGTTTTTCAGAAACTCTATGAACTTTAAGTTTTCGAACAAATTTTAGGTGGCTGTATCATTATTGAACGCTGTATTTTTGTAACCCACTCCTGAAGGAATTTTGCGCTTCCTCGTCTCACTGAATTCTGAACTCCACTTATATTAAAGAAACAATTGAGGACTACTTCTGCGTTTTTGTTCTTTAAAATTTGTGGTTGTCACAGTGGATGTAACCATATAGATAGATTTAAAATCATTGAACTGCTTCCTAACCACAGCACCCAACCTGCTCAATTTCATCGGTCTCGATGGAAAGTGGCCAGCACTCTCCAATGTGTGCCGCCATTAAAGGATAAAGGATAAAGCATTTGCCGTTGATCAATCCCTTTTGGGATGCGGCACGCATTCTACTTCCATTTGTACATTCGCAGTGGCATTTTGAATGCGATGTGGCCTATACAATGACTTGCGGGGGCCAGCCGATGTTCAAGTCAGTGTTTTTATCCTCCCAGACAAGTCTGGTACCAATTAACCGACCCCGGAGGGATGGAAGGCTTGGTTGGCCCGGGCGACTCAACTGAGTGCCCGCGCATATAACCACCCAGAATACTCGTCCGTCTTCTTCCAAACCTGGCTTGTAGCAGCTTACGAAGACTCTCAAACTGTGGAACTTTTTTATCTTGTGGGAACATTAAGGTGAAAGCCTGATAACTGCGAATCAGTTTCATGAAGCAAAAATGAATTTCAACGAAGAAACACGGGGTGGCTGTATCATTTTTGAACATAGGAAAATCGACCTCTTCTGAAAAAATAAGCACAAAATTTTTTGGCAAAATTCGGCCTACTCAGCACCCAATATGTACTTTATTAATATATTACTTGTTTGAGCACCTGGCCCTCTCCTTTTCATTCCGTAACTCCCCTTTATATCGTCATATACTCACCTATGCATTTCACCGAACAGCTGCACCTCTTTCCTGTTAAGTTATCTCTGCGGCTCACAAACTACTATTTTTATTCCATATGCACGAATAAAGAAAGCTGAATTTGGCAGAAAAGGAGCAGACACCTGGAGCCAAGTGCAGCAGGCCCGGCCGCGGATGGTTCCCTCTCGGCTCGACGAAGCAGACCTCATGGTCAAGAATAGGAGGACGTCTAAAGGTGCAGGGTTTGGGGAGCTTCAAACAGCCAAGCTTGCTTCATGCTGCTGGCAGCAGTTCTAAAATGCAGTCCCCCTTTCTGACGTCTCCCTGAAACTGTACTGAATTTTAGAGAGATGAAAAATATTTGGTCGACTTCCCGGGGACCAATTAAGAATTAGTACATATTAGCATATATTAGCATTGTATTGGTTAATTGGTGTATATTAAGTATTCCAAAAAATTTTCGCCCTTGATTAGTCATTTTGTACCATGTTTAAACCGCTTTTGATTCCTGCCCTTTATGTCCGGCTCCCAGGAAGTTTTGCGCTACAGATTTATAACCAAGTGACGGTGGCCTTCATGTAGATGCAAGGAGTATAGTTCATACTTATAGCTGATAGCTGACAAATGGAGGTGTAATTAGTGGCTATTGATAGAATACAACCACAACTGGTTAATATTATTTCTTTGCAGAAAACTATTACATTTCGTGAAGGCCGTCGTCACTTGTGTAGTGTAGTGTGCAGCAGACACGCAGCTGGCCGCCGGACACAAGGTGTACGAATATTTATGTACCTCGAAGAACAAAAAGCAAGCACCTGGTTTGGAGTGAGTAGATTTTTTTCGGAAAGTTGCCCATAGCAGTTGAACATTGCCGAAGACCCCAATGACGTTGAAGAAAAGTATTTCCGACACAACACAATACCGTATGTACTTCATGGTCGATTCCTCCATCTTTTCAAAAGTTGCTGCAATTTATGAACGATATCTGCGAAAACTGCGTTAAGCACAAAGGCCAGACAAATATTTGCTCTTTATTTACTGGTTGTCTCTTATGAAAAAAAAACCTTTCAGGCCGTGACGCAAGTGGATTTATGGCATAATGCAACCGACTGTTATTGAGAAGTTCGTGTCAATCTTAGTGGGATAAGCTGGCAGACCAAAAATAAGGTTCAAAGAAAGTCGAATCAAGCGATCTAGGGAATACTATGGTATGTTATCAATGCACCACCCCTTTTCATGTATAGTGATATTAATCACCATTATTACAAAAAGTCGAGCAAAAGCCTCGCATTGGTGTGAAACAAAGCCTAATTCAAGGAAGTAAATACCTTCGAAAAGGATATTGTCGTGTACCGCGACGATAGGAGGGCGTGGTCTTGGGTAACAGGAAGAGCCGTGTTTTTGTGTGCAACAAAAGGAAACCTATTGTCATTGCTTAACAACAGTATATGGGATTAGTCTGTTGAGGAACACCTTTTCAGATGCTCAAAAACCACTACAGACTAGTTGGAAACGCATAGCAGCCCACACCGCGGCAACAAACTCTCACAAAGCGGGCGGAGCCAAACTAGGGGAGGAATAGAGCTTTTGGTTTAGGGTGGTCATTTTCTCCACGCATTTAGCTTCCTCGCAATCGAACCAGCATTTCTGTGTGGTTATGGCCGTAGGATGAAATGGGGGCCAAGCGAGTAACAAGTCCTGTACTGAAAGAAATGATCAGATTCATTCATTTCATGGTGCTCGGCACGGTACGTGAGCCAGTGAGGAGCACTTCGAAGATTCTCTGCTCCATTCATGGATATTCGAACAGCTTCCATGTCTCCGATATCCTTCGTATTCTGAACGCCAACAAAAGGTTTCTGTTAAGTAGTAGAGAGTAACCATGATGGTTTTTCCAAAACAACATCCTCTTGAAAGTAGGTTCGCTCGTGATTCAGTGTGTTCCTGAGTCGAAAAACATCAACTGGACAGTGGTGAAAAGCAGCAGCGACATTGCCGGAAAAACACCAAAGATGGTTCAAAAGTGCCTGGCATCAGCGGGAGGCACAATTTAATTTTCGAAGTTAAACGTGGAAAGAAGTTGGCCAATTTCGTCACAATCGCACCACACAGCTGAATAATTTCATTAAGGTCGGTATTTTTGGATAAAAAAAGATTAATTTAGACAACCTCTGAGATAAACATTTTTGGCTTTGCAAATGTGAATCATCAGCGTTTAGGAGCTGCAAGGTGTGAATAGTTTCTGTAATTATGTTGCGCCGAAAGTTTATTTTTCTCGATGACTGCTCCCCAACCAGGGTCAACCGTCCGTTGGACAAAGTCCAACGCATGGCTCTCTAGCGTGTGAGAGTAATGCCGAGAGTGAACGTACGCACGGAGACACAGACGGCTCGCGGGTGGCGAGAGTGAATGCCGGCGCGGAGAGCGGTCAACATCGGTCC